CATGACACAATGCTTACATGGCTGGTGGAGAGCTGCAGATTGCAGCATAATCCTACCAGAGGAACTGGGACGGCAAGTCCTATCCAAAATGCATGAGTACCCACATGGGAACAAAAAAAATGGAAGACTTGGTGCGACATGCAAAGATCACCATCAAAGACTCCCGATCAAAGATCGAACAGAGGGGCAGCTGGGTGGCTCGGTGGGTTAAGCCTCTGCCCTCGGCTCAGGTCATGATCCCAGGGTCCTGGGATTGAGCCCTGCATCGGGCTCACTGCTCAGCGGGGAGCCTGCTTCCTCCTCTCTCTCTGCCACCTGCCTCCGTTGCCTACTTGTGATCTCTGTCTGTCAAATAAATAAATAATAGCTTTAAAAAAAAAAGATCGAACAGATTGTGGCAAGCTGCCACACATGTCAGTTAACTAATGCCAGTGCCCATGGATCTAACCTGGGCACCTGGCTCCGGGGGGACTGCCCAGGAGCCTACTGGGAGGTGGACTTCACTGAGATAAAACCTGGAAAATACAGATACAGGTATTTACTAGTGTTTATAGATACTTTTTCAGGATGGACAGAGGCATTTCCCATCAAACATGAGACAGCACAGACCGTGACCAAGAAACTGCTGGAAGACATCTTACCGAGGTATGGTTTTCCTGTTAGGATTGGATCAGACAACGGACCAGGATTCGTCTCTAAGGTAACACAGGGAGTGGCACTAGTTCTTGGGGCAGATTGGAAATTACATTGTACATATAGGCCCCAAAGCTCAGGACAGGTAGAGAGGATGAACAGAACATTAAAGGAGACCTTCACTGAATTAGCCCTGGAGACTGGCGGGGACTGGGTGACTCTCCTCCCCTTCACCCTCTATAGGGTACGAAACTCCCCATGTAAGATGGGACTTACCCCCTACAAGATCATGTTCGGTACTCCTCCACCTATTATTCCCAATTTAAAACCTGAGGTGCTTGCGGAGTTTGATGATCACCAACTCCTTTTCTCCCTCCAAATGTTACAATGAACCCACGAACAGGTGTGGCCTAAGCTGAGGGCCCTCTATGAGACTGAGCCACCCCTGGACCCCCATCGATATTGGCCAAGTGACTGGGTGTACATCCGGAGACAACAACACCAAACACTTCAACCACGCTGGAAGGGACCCTGCATCGTGATCCTGACCACTCCCACCGCTCTCAAGGTCGACGGGATTACTCCCTGGGTCCACTATACCCACATACAGTCAGCTGACCCACACGCCGTTCTCAAGGACTTTGTACCAGAATGGAAAAGCCAACCAAACAAAGACAATCCCCTAAAGCTAAGACTGTGCCGTTCTCACTTACCCCACTAATGTTGCTTATACTATGCCCTCTCCATGCCAGAACTAGTAGCACTAACCCTCACACACTCTATAATATTACATGGCAAATTATTACACCAAGTTCTAATCAGGTAATGGTCCAGATGATGGAACAACGCCCTAAGGGAACCTGGTGGCCTGACTTGACCATAGACCTGTGCACTCTATTCAGACAGGACCCGTGGCATGAAGGTAGGACAGGAATACCAGGGTGTGGTACCCAAACTGCCAGGAAGGAGCTCCAAAATACCTGTTTTTATGTATGTCCAGCCGCCCCCCGCATTAGACCGTACCAGGATCTCCCAGTGTGGTGGGCAGATTATTTCTGTAGAAACTGGGGCTGTGAACAAACTGGGACATGCCATTGGCTGGCAGGAAAGCTGCCCCCAGGCCTCATAAAGGTCCAACGGAACATGACTAACCCAATGCACGGCTAATCCCACCTGTAACCCAATCAGTATCTCCTTTACAGATGCAGGAAAAAAAGAAACAGATTGGGGAATGGGACTTCTATGGGGGCTACGACTCTACCAGAGCGGATATGATACTGGAGTCTCATTTATGCTCAGGCGACTCGATAAACCACTGGGCAGACCCCAGGGAGTAGGGTCTAACCCAGTGCTAGCACCACAACCACCCAAACCTCAAACAAATCCTATCTCGCCACCACCCTCCCCTGTACCTACCATGCCGTCTGCATCCAATAACACCCCCGATGCAGACACAATCATTCCTGTCCCGACCTCCTTCCCATAAGATCCTCCCTTCCTCTGCCCCTCTCAGCATCCACTTTGGGACCTGATGTTCCAAACTTAGAGGTTCCTCAATGCAACCAAGCCCAATCTTACCCGATCTTGCTGGCTCTGCTATGACATCCAGCCTCCTTTCTATGAGGGAATTGCGATGTCGGGTCAGTACAACATAACCTCCGACCCTAATGCCTGTAGATGGCATCAAAAGACTCAAGGAGGGGCGCCTGGGTGGCTCAGTGGGTTAAAGCCTCTGCCTTCAGCTCAGGTCATGATCTCAGGGTCCTGGGATCGAGCCCCACATCGGGCTCTCTGCTCAGCGGGGAGCCTGTTTCCCTCTCTCTCTCTCTCTCTGCCTGCCTCTCTGCCTACTTGTGATCTCTGTCTGTCAAATAAATAAATAAAATCTTTAAAAAAAAAAAAAGACTCAAGGATTCACTACAATCAGCGTTGGGTCAGGGACTCTGCATAGGCACACCTTCACCCCAATACCAGTCCCTATGTAATGATACAAGATCTATAGCCTAGACTACCACCTACCTCCTCAAGATGGGTGGTGGGCATATTCTATAGGCCTAACCCCCTGTTTTCATGGTCAGGTTCTAAATCAGACAAAGGGTTTCTGTGTGCTAGTTCAGCTACTTCCTAAAATTATCTGCCACTCAGATGAACAGGTACTTCAATGGTTCGATGCAGGTACCCACAGACGGGATAAAAGAGAGCCCATCTCAGCTATTGCCATCTCCACGCTGTTGGGAATTGGGTTAGCAGGTGCAGGGACAGGTATTACTTCACTAGCCATACAGAATTCCCACTATAACAGTTTCAGAGCAGCAATCGATCTAGACATAGAGCGGATGGAAACCTCTATTTCCCACCTCCAAGATTCCCTAACATCTTTGTCTGAGGTTGTCCTTCAAAACAGAAGAGGATTAGACTTAGTCTTCTTACAACAAGGGGGGTTATGTGCTGTCTTAAATAAGGAATGTTGCTTCTTCACTGACCACTCAGGAATAGTCCAAGAATCTATGGCAAAAGTCAGAGAAGGCTTGGCTAGACGCAAATGGGAACTGGAACAACAGCAAGGTTGGTTTGAATCATGGTTCAGTCATGCCCCATGGTTAACCATCTTGCTGTCCACCCTAGCTGGGCCCCTCATTATCCTCCTTCTCCTCCTTACCTTTGGGCCCTGCATCATCAATAGATTAGTTACTTTTGTCAAAGACAGAGTCAGTACGGTTCCCACGGTACTCAGACAGCAATACCAACCACTGCACCTTGTTGCTGAGACCAGCCTGGACCCATGATTGGGTCCTTCCTTAGGTTCATCTGAGAGGGGGGAATGTGGAGGCCGAGAAAATTAAGGACATCCCACCTCAAGTTTAACCTTAGCAAGATCTTAGCTTCAGCAGCCATCTCAGGCCCCAGTGAGCAGGGGCTGAACTTTAGTTCCAGGAAAAACCGCTAAGCTTTAGTAACAGAAAAAATCGCTATACCCAACCCTGCAACATCCCAGCAACAGCTAATCAGCTTACTGCAGGAAAGTCTGAAATTTCCCCTCTTCCCCCACCCCCCCAAGCCTCTTGTAATGACACATAAATACCCCTGCCTTAACTAGACTCGGGGTCCAAGTCCCTACTCTGCTGTGTCGGGTATACTTGGGCCCAAGCTTAAGTTTGTCGATTAAACCCTCGTGTGATTGCATTGGTGTTGGCTCCTTGGTGGTCTCTCGGACACGAAAACTTGGGCACAGCATTTTGTTTTGTTTTGTTTGGCCTAGTTTGCATTGCTGCCCACAGCCTCCCAGGAAAGACTGCCTGGCGTTATGGTCCTGATTTGTAGCTTGGATGTCATGATACTCTGTAGGTTCAGAGGTCAACCTGAGGAGGATACAGTTGTGACAGATTCTGGTGTTCGTAAGAATTGTTTTCTTATTCAGAGGGGATGCTGCATTGCACTCAGTACTGGTAAGGGAAATCTATTACTTGGGTCCCGCAAAGTGGCGAAGTGCTCTGGTGTCCAGAATTCTTTAGGGTGGTGCCACTGGTTGGAAGATTATAGGGGGAATCATGATTGTTAAAAACAAACAAGCAAACAACCCCCCACCCCCGGACCCCCGCACCCCTACACTGGATTTATAGGGAGTGAGGAGACTACAACAAACTGGTTGGAACGGGCCTCTTTTAAAAGGGTGTCTGCAGGTTTAGTCACTATGGCTGTGAAGGATGAGCAGGTACAGAAATTTTCAGGATTTCCAGAAGGGTGTATCTTGTGTAGCTGAGGGCCTTTGAGAAAAAAATAATGTAAAGTTTTTATGACTCATGTAGCTTTTTTGGGCACCCTGTCTCAAGGCCATTGCTGTCTTGGGAGGAAAACCAGGGAGTTGAGAGAAAGGACAAGTCTTGGTCAGTGATTGTGGCCTTAGCGCTGCAGCCTGCATTCCTTTCAAATCGAGTGGAAATGGCTTTCATTGTTTACTTGTATCTGTTATCCCTGGGGCATGAGGAGAGATGGTGGAGTCGCAGAGCTGGATTTTACAAGCCAGTAGGAAATCCAAATTTTTACTTTGAACCGTTTCTAAAGTTGTGATAAGGTATAGATGATGTGCAGTAAACCGTACGTATTTAAACTGTACAGCTCAGTAAGCTGAAATTCACTTAACCCAGGAAGCTCATCACAATCATGAAAATGGACCTGTCCCTCACTCCGTATTTATGTGCAGCACTTCAGTGGCATCTCTCTCTCTGCCCTTCAGGCAACCATTGGTCTACTTTCCTTTGTAACAGATTAGTTCGCATTGTCTAGAATTTTATATGATTGAAATAGTAAATTGTTTACCCTTTTTTTCCTCCCATGGGTGCCTTCTGCAGAATGTTCTTTTTTTTCAGATTCAGCATGAATAGTTCATCATTTTTATATCGCTGAGAAGTATGATTTTTTTTGAACTACCGCTGCTTGTATATTCATTCATCTGTTTATGGATATCGACTGCTTTCCGGTACTGGTTGTTACAAATTTGTAACTGGTTGTTACAAATAAAATCACTACTATAAAATCTTTAGGGTGGTGCCACTGGTTGGAAGATTATAGGGGGAATCATGATTGTTAAAAACAAAATTTTTAAAAATTTTCTTTAAAGATTTTTATTTATTTATTTGACAGAGATCACAGGGAGGTAGAGAGGCAGGCAGAGAGAGAAGTGGGGAAGCAGGCTCCCCGCCGAGCAGATGCGGGGCTCAATTCCAGGACTCTGGGATCATGACCTGAGCTGAAGGCAGAGGCTTTAACCCACTGAGCCACCCAGGCGCTGCACTACAGACATTTTAATACAATTCACTATGTGGCTATATTTCTTTTCTCTTGTGTTAATACTTCAGGGTGCAATGCTAGAATCACAAGCTGGGTGAATATTAACTTTTTATGTATATTACATAGTGTAATAAGGGAGGCATCTTTGATAATGGGGTCATTGGGCAAAAACTTGAAAGATAAGAGGGATAACTACGTGGGTATTTCAGAATAAGTTCTAGGCAAAATGTGCAGGTGAGTAGATAGCTTCGGTAGGTGGAGCCCTCACAGGGCTCCTAAGCAGTTGAAGACTCCAGCCAGGTTGGCCATTAGCATGACTTGCTCACTGCAGAGACACTCAGGGAACAGATGTGAGGAAGTCTGGCTCTGCCTCTGGGAGTCTGCAATTCTTCACTGTGGCAGACTGCAAGGCCTGAACCTAGGCGGCCTCATTTTTCATCAAAATGTGGTTTCCAAGTTTAATTCCTAGATCTTTACCATTCGTGTCACCCAGTGATTTGTTAGAAATGCTCATTCTCATTTCAGAAACTGGCCTAGTGAAACAGATTGTGTGGATCAAGACCTTAGAATCTATGTTTTAACAGTTTTCCAGGTGATTCTGATATAACATTCCATTGTACTGTTGTGGTTTCTGTAGACCAGGTCACAGTGTTTCTCACAATAGCAGGAGTCACCTCTAAATCTGCAGGATTTTTAACTGATACTAAAAAAAAGGAATCTGTACAGGTTGTGTAATATACAGACCATACTTCTAAACACATTCACGTTATGTTCTTCCATTGTGCCTACCACATTCCAAGATGCTATATGATTTAGGATTTCTTCTTTCATGAATTCTGTGACCTCCTTGTATATAATATAACCCCCAGAAGGGCAGGGGTCTTTTTCCTGTTGTGTCCAGATGTCTCCTTTGCATCTACAATAAGTTCTTGAAGCCAAACACTCATTGATTATTTGTTAGAACAGTGAATAAGCAAGACACTTTAGCTTCCCTTTATATTTTTTATATATTTATATATAAAAATATATATATTTCTTATATATATTTATATATATTTTATATATATATATATAATATATTTTATATATTTATATTTTCACAAGTCGACATATTCCTAATGTCCCTGTTAGCTTTCCCTGAATGTTGGTATCACTTACTTTCAGGAATGGATAAGAATCAAATTCAGGAGACAAAGTCATCAGAATGATTGTTTTAGTCACATACTCAGCTTAACTATATCTTTTCTCAGACATCACTGCTACAATTTCTCTAAGATCTTCACATTTTTATCATTCACTGGTATTTCCACTGAGACATTTCTGACAATCTCTGAATCATTATAGAGCCATTGTCAGTAGCTTTGTGTAATTTGCATTTTATAGCTGTTTTTCTTGGATAATGTCAATTCCTTATGCAGAAAACTCCCTATAGGGGCGCCTGGGTGGCTCAGTGGGTTAGGCCTCTGCCTTCGGCTCAGGTCATGATCCCAGGGTCCTCCGATCGATCGAGCCCCGCATTGGGCTCTCTGCTCAGCGGGAGGCCTGCTTCCTCCTCTCTCTCCCTCTGCCTGCCTCTCTGCCTACTTGTAATCTCTCTCTCTGTCAAATAAATAAATAAAATAAAATTAAAAAGTATTAAGAAAAAAAAAAAGAAAACTCCCTGTAATCGCTGGGGAAATGATAACCACTTTCCAGTAATGAGATGAGCATAGAGATTTAAGTTACCCTCTGCATTTTGGAAATCAGAGCACCCTTTTCATACGTACTAACACCTGTAAACCTTGAAGCCACCGTCCGCTATCAGAATAGCACGTCTTTCACAGTTCTGTTGTTGAGATAGATGTCAGATTTTCAAAAGGTAGTGACTTTCAGTCTATCCAAAAAGAGATACTAAATAGATACACGTGTTGCTAAGTTGAACACAGTAATTTACTGTACAGTCAAGGGAGATACCTTCTATGGTAATTACAGAGATCAGCTTTGTATTCCTGCTTCGGGGTAGTCCAACATTCCTCTTCGATAATTCCTGTCATGACCCAATCTGGTTTTTTCTGTCGTCCTGATCAAACATAGAGCAACTGATAAAACCAAGTGTAACACTGACTTCATTGTGTATGGATTTGAATTGCAACGTGACGTGTTGAGCCTGCATGACTACGGATGGTAAGCGTATTTGAATCTGTAGCCTTTGGGAGTATCTGAAATATGTTTAGCTTTTGGGAGCAAGCGGAGCTTCACGGAGTCCGGAAGAACACGTCCCTGCACTCTTGGGTGAACAGCTACAAGCAACACACAACACTCCCTCCAAAACTTGAGTTCTCCTTTAAGAAGAGACAAAGACCCTTCTAATCTCTTGGACTCCTAGACGGCATCTCCCAACGCAGCTTCCGGGTCGAAAATCTACTGCGGGTCGGCTGCCGAGCACCCTTACCCACGGCGTCTGAATCCGTGGGAACTACATTACCCTGTATGCTCCGCGCCTAACGGCCGCCTCGCTGAACCAATGAAGGTTCACAACAGGCGTCTTCCGTGTGTGACACCGAACGCGGGGCGGGACTTCCGGCGTCCTCCTCCGGGCGGTCATTTTGGCTTCTTCCCGGTGTTCATGCGGGCAGAAGTTCCGGAGCGCTGGGTGTGTGCGAGGTGACTTGCAAGAGAAGGAGTCAGAGGAGTCTTTGACCCCGCCATACAGAGGCGGGTCTGAGGCGAGGCGACGCTGCCCGGGGTGCCCCGCACCAGGGCCGGTATAAGAACCGCCTGCCCGCTCCGGGCCCCGCTCCGCCCACAGGCCCGGATGGCGGCAGCCACGCTGAGGGACCCGGCTCAGGTAAATGCTGCGTTTTCCGCCCCTCACCGCCACCCAGATCCTAAAGCTCCGGTTGAGGGGCGCCGGCTCATGTCCTCACATCCCACGTCACTCTAGGATAACGAGGCACTAGTAGGTGGGGTCCCGTTTCTGACAATGACTCTGAATAAACATGACATCTCAGCTTCCCGGTTTTGTTTCACTGGTGATTAGTTATGGGGAACGTTTAATTTCACTGTTGTGATTAGGTGTGGGGGAGTGTTGCAGGCAGAGGAACCGACCTCTGCAAAGGCGTGGGGGTGCCGCTGAGCTGGGAACATTCGGGACAGCTGGGGGTGGTTGTGCCTGAGGGGAGCAGTGTTTGAGGCGGAGTCTCACCTGGAGGAGCAGGCCGAGGGTGCTGCCTGCGTGCTCAGGACTCTGGCAGCTGTGGATAATTGTAAACAAAGGAGCGACACGAATGACATTAGGATTTTAAGGCTTATCGAAGGCTACTGATTGGAAAAACAGACGGAAGGAGAGTGATGGAGACATTGAGGCATTAGGAGGTTGGCTCCTTTTTCGAGGACACAGAGCTAGTAAGACGAAACTCTGAGATATAAAAGGTAGACTCCAGTCATAAATTCACTCGCTTACCGGCCAGGCATGGGTACACAGAAGAGCCTGAGCCCACTGAAACCCGACATGTATTCATCTATATCCTGCCGGTTAAAACATGGCTTCAGACGCACTTATGGAACCTACACAAGTATGTGTAGGGTTCCTAGTCCCTCACTGGCTCCTACTCCCACTCCTGTATTCTCCACTGTAGTGTGCAGGGACTACGTGCCATTCTTCCAGACCTTGGGTCTAGGGACCCTGGGGAAACCCCAAGCCTCTGCCTTGGGTCCATATGGGGAATTATATGGGGGTATTTCCATTTGGGACACTTGATATAAACAGGTGTGGAAAGGTTATCTCAATACAGGGCTGTAAAAACATTTGTGGAGGTAATCTGGGAGCATTAAGGAAACCATAGCTTCCCTTTCCTTCAGGTAGGAGCAGTAAGATGGGATTCAGGACCAGAATGGCAGCCTGAGAATTTGGTAACCTGTACTGGAGGTGATGGGAACTTTGGGTTCGAGAAGGGAGATGTTCTTAGCCAGGTCTTAACAGGCTTCTTCCGCCTGCATGGTAGTGAACAGATTGTGAGGATGAGGGAAGAGGAAGCAAAACGAGGGTGGAGTCCACTGTAGTGGTCCAGTTGAGGGTTCATGGGACAGAGTGGTGGCTTAGAAGTGGCTGGACTCTGGATCAGTTTTTATCAAGAGTCAGTTGGATTTCCTGATGTGCAGGGGAAGTCACATGATTGGTCTCTTAGTATTGCTCTATAACAAAATACCACAAGCTCGGCAATTTATAAATTTCAGAAATTTATTTCTCACAGCTCTGGAGGCAAGAAGTCCAAGATCAGGATGCTTACATAGTCAGGTTTTGTGTCTAGTGAGGGCCTCCTTCCTAATTTCCACCCAAAGGTCCCAGCTCCTAATACCATAAGTTTAGTTGGGGGGGGTGTAGAGTGTCAAAATACAAATTTGGGGGGGCATAAACATTTTTTTTCTGGAACAGTGAGAAAGTGAAGCACAGGATTTGGAGATGACCCGAATCTTTTTTAAAGATTGATTATTTATCTGACAGATCACAAGTAGGCACAGAGGCAGGCAGAGAGAGAGGAGGAAGCAGGCTCCCTGCTGAGCAGGACCCCGGGATCACGACCTGAGCCGAAGATAGAGGCCTCAACCCACTAAGCCACCCAGGCGCCCCTGACCCAAAGGTTTTGATTTAAACAACAGGAAGGATGAAAATTCCAGCAGATAAGGGGAAATTCATCATAGAGTAATTTTAACTGGGGATATCAGTAACTTTCTGTTGGCTATTTTAAGATCTGAGGTGTTTCAGAGACCAGTGAGTGAGAGCATCAAGTAGGTAGCCAGACACCCACATCTGGAATTCTGGGGAGGGGTTCAGGATGGAAACATCCAACATATGGTGGCAACCGTATATGTCCAGGTAGGTGAGTTATATTTGGGAGGTGCAATCTCTAGATAATGATGGTAAAACCATTTTCAGACTAGGAAAGGAAAGGTGGTGGCTGAGAAGTGGGCCTCTTGCTTGGATATCTGGTTGATGGCTTTGAGTTTTCACATACTTAACTTAGTGAAGTAAGTGGCACAAAGGGTGAAAATGTCAAGGACAGGGTAGACTCAGAGCCGATGAAGGGTACTAGTAGAAGAGTGGACATGAGATGGATAGAGAGGCATAGGAGTTGGCACGTTAATACTCAGTCCTTGGAGCTAGTGTTTATTTCACTCAAAGGACTTTGTGGATTTTGTGGCAACTTTGGTGGGGCTTGGGATATTTCATTCAGGCTGGAGGATTAGGTTAGCAGCAAATCTGTGAGAACTTTTGCAACTCAGGTGGGTGACTGGTGGAGCTGCACTTTGAATGAAGGACTAAGTCAAAAGAGGAAAGTTCTGACTGCAGAAGGCACAGCAAGCGCAGCACAGAAATGGGAAGAGGCCATGGGTATCTGAAATCTGCAGGTCATTCTGGGCTGTGGTGGTTGTTGGGGGAAACAGACTTAAGCAGGGAGAACTACATAGCAGGCTTCAGAGCTGCCTCTGACCGTGAGGCTCATCAGAGGATCAGTTGGGTCTTGACTGGGTTTACAAAAACCTTTCTGGATACCATGCAGTAGGTAACATGAGGCCAGGGAGATGCTTGTCCTGTGGGGCAGGAAGTGGCTGTGGCTTCTAAAAAGAAGCAAGGAAGAGCCTCTCTAGGAAACTAAGATATTTAAAGGTGATCATATATGCTGTAGTTAACAGACACAGCACAGGGAATATGCATTCATAGAAGAGATTTGAGTGACCCCAGAACTTCTGAGCTAGGGAGATTATGAAGGTCTTCCCCTGCACAGGCACAGTTCTTAATGATTGGAAGTGTTTGCTGTTTTTTCAGATGCCCAGATCTTGACAAAAGAATGCAGAGCATACAAAGAAATAAGGAAACGTGGCTCAATTGAAAGAACCTGGAAACTAGCCCTATAAAAATGTAGGCTTGACAGAAATTTAAATTACTTGACAGAAATTTACTTGACAGAAATTTAAAACGACTGTCCTAAAGATGCTCAGTGACTTAAGAGAACACAGACGACAATATCAGAAAACAATTCATGGACAATGTAAGAATATCAACAGAGATAGAAACTGTAAAAGAGAACAAACCAGATATCCTAGAGCTGAACAATACAACAATTAAACTGGAAAATTTACTAGAGGGGTTCAGTAGCAGACTTGATCAGGTAGAATAAAGAATCTGTAAACTTGAAGACAGGACATTTGAAATTGTCAAGGCAGAGGAGTCACTGTTAAGGGACTTATGGGATACCAGCCAACTGACCAGTATATGCATTATGGCAGGCCCAGAAGCAGAAGATTGGGACTTTATTTGCAAAAGATATCCAACAAGACAAGTATCTAAAATAAGGAATATCAATAGTTATAATTTTTTAAAAGAACAAGCAAAAAATGTGAACAGATATTTCCAAAGGAAGTTATGGCAAAAAGTTACATAAAAAGATATTGGAAAGGAAAAATTAAACCCATAATGACTTAACCACTGTGCACTTTTAAAATCATTAAAATTAAGGGGCACCTGGGTGGCTCAGTCATTAAGCATCTGCCTTCAGCTCAGGTCACGATCCCAGGGTCCTGGGATTGAGCCCCACATCAGGCTCCCTGCTCAGTAGGCTCCTTTTTTTATTTATAAGCTGCTTTTGTTACTGCTGTTGCTTGATTGTTTTTGTTTTTTAGATTGCACACATGACTGAAATCATATATTTGTCTTTCTCTGACTTATTATGCCACTTAGCATAATACCTTTTAGATCCATCCATGTTGTGAATGGCAAGATGTTTTGTTTTGTTTTTTTAAATAATCTCCATGCCTAAAGTGAGACTTGAACCCATGACCTGGAGATTGAGTCACATGCTCTACCAGTGAACCAGCCAAGTGCCTCATGATTTCATTTTTTTTTTTTTTTAAGATTTTATTTATTCATTTGACAGACAGAGATGACAAGTAGGCAGAGAGAGGCAGGCAGAGAGAGAGAGGAGGAAGCAGGCTCCCCGCGAAGCAGAGAGCCCGATGTGGGGCTCAATCCCAGGACACTGGGATCATGACCTGAGCCGAAGGCAGAGGCTTTAACCCACTGAGCCACCCAGGCGCCCCTGATTTCATTTTTTTTTTAAATGACTGAGTAATATACTCTTGGGTGCATATATACACAGACACCTCACATCTTTATTCATTCATATATCAGTGGACGCTTAGCCTGGGTCCATATTTTATCTATTGCAAATAATACTGTGGTAAACAGGGATGTGTATATCTTTTTGAATTAGTGTTTTCATTTTCTTCAGGCAGATACCCTGAATTGGAATTGGCAGAATTGGAATTACTGGATCGTATATATTTCTTTTTTCTTTTTGTATATATTTCCTTTTCTTTTTTTTTTTTTTAAGTACTAAAGTATTTATTTTTTACTAATATATGGTGTATTATTTGCTTCAGGGGTACAGATCTGTGAATCATCAGTCTTACACAATTCACAGGATTATATATATTTCTATTTTTGTTTTTCTAGGGATCCTCCATACTGTTTTACAGAGTGGCTGCACCACTTTACATATCCCCCCCAACTCCCAAACACACACAATGCACAAGAGTTGTCTTTTTGATACTAGCCATTTTGAGTGGTGTGAGGTGATAAATCATTGTGGATTTGATTTGCATTTCCCTGATGATTAGGGATGTTGAGCATATTTTCATATCTGTTAGCCATCTGTATGTTTCTTTGGAAAAATGTGCATTTAGGTCTTCTACCAATTTTTAATTGGCTTGTTTGGGGGGTTTGGTGTTGAGGTGTGTGAGTTCTTTATATATTTTGGATATTAACCCCTTTATATATTTTGGATATTA